CCTATTTATACCTTTCAGCCTGTTGTTCCTTAGCCAATAGCAAAACTGGCTCTTCTATTCTACTGTAATTACTAAGCTACTTCTACTTTTATTAATAAGCATTTTGTCTGTATTAGTCAGCCTTCTGTCTGTTTTACTAATGTATTGGTAAGCTATTACTAATGTTTGTTAGAGTATTACTATATTTTGGTAATTCATAGCTGTTGAGCATAGACCTTTACTAAGCATGGTTTCTAGATTACTAAGAAGCTGAGTCATATTATTAGTCATTAATTCACTTTTAGTAAGCTTAAGTGTTTATGCTTACTTTGCAGCTCTGAGTAAGCAGTTTCTTTTTGATTTGAATACCTATTATTCCTTTAGTTTTCCTATACTTATAGTTATGGTGCATGACAGCGGCAACATGAGGGGCACATGGGGTAGACGGCAAAGTTGTCACCGAGATCAAGCTGCTTTACTGTCGTCCTCAGAGTCCGCGGTACGTCGGTTTTCTGGTCAACGAAACCAAAGACAGTAAAGAGATAGTGAAGAACTGTAATGAGAATATTGATGGCGCGATGGGATACTGAGTGCTCCGAGTGCAGGAAGGCGCAAAGGAGCATTATTGGCCTCCAGAACCAAAGATCGCTGGAGGACTTGATGGCTTTGTGCGCAGAGAGCTTATGCTCAAAGACCTGATGCGGCCACTGTTGCGGCTGCGCCGCAGTGACTTGCAGGTCCTTCGCCAGTACCGTCCGCGAAGGTTGCTCCAGAACATCAGGGAGCGCAGGCTCACCAGGATCTGGAATGCGGACATTGACGTCTTCAGCTGCTCCTATTAGCAAATCAGTTCTGGTGCACTAGAAAGCATCGACTCATTGAGATCAGCAATTAATTCAGCACCATGGGCATCCGTGTTGGTATTGACGTCTTCAGGTACCACCTGCGAAAGGCGTTCTGGAACACCAGGAAGTGAGAGCTTGCTGGGATCTGAGATCAGCCCAATACTTTGGTCTTGGACGTCGATTCCGGCAGCCTGTGACCCCGGACCAGAGTCCGAATGATCTGCCGAGGTGTGGCCCACAGAGTAGTTGTTATCCTTCGGGATCTCGGGCAGTGATGGTGCAATGGCATCTGCGGCAGGACTCAGTGCAGCGGCAAAGATAGCGGTGGGGGCTGGGAATAAAAGAGATGTACCCGGCAAGGACTCTGCAGTAGAAAAAGTTGGTGGCGTGGATAGATGGTCGGGACTGTGTGGTACGACACTGCCAAGCAGAGAGCCTCGGTCACTATCAGATGTCAAGGTTGCAGTGACTATATGCACCATAGCTGCACTCCCTACATTGGGTGTGGCGTCGTTGGCGATTTTGGAACTAACTGGGTGTGATGGAGGAGCTGCGAGCATGCTCGTGCCGGTGGTGGACTGCACTGCGACACTAGTAGCAGCAATGGCAGCATTCTTCTTCTTCTTCTTCATGTGACGTTGAGCAAGGAACTCGTCGAGAGTTATTTCATTGGCTGTGTCGCTCTCGCTGCTCAATTCTTTACCCTTCGGTGCAATCTCATAGTTGCGTTTTGCATGGCTATGCTGGGTGTGGTACATCAGGGAAAAATGACTTTGCTACATAGTATTACGAAGCCAGTGTAGAAGTCGAAGCAGTCGGAGAATGGTCCCCCTTTCAGTAGCAAGCACCGAACACGTCCCTGCTCCGGAAGCACTCTCGTAGTAACCACTAGTCTCAGGAGCACTCTCATAGCAACTCTGAGGTATAATTGTAGCTTGCCCCATGTAAGCAATATTGCACCTGGTATTGTAGCATTGATAACCAATCACCCATCTCATCATACAAGTATCATCAGAGCATTAATATTGAATAGCATATTAACTATTTTACAGGGCTGTATTTACACAGAATGTCTTGTACTACCACTTGAATGAGCATGGGCAAACATTACATTAGTATGTATCACCTTGAGCACACAGCTGGATGTGGCACACTGAGGTAACATACAAGGACGGCGTCAGGCTGCGGTACTCCGGGGAAGAGCGCCGCGGGCAACACAAAGTCAGTGCCGGCAGTGGACACGTTCGTGTAGTTGAAGAGTGCAAGTGCACGCACATGCGCTATCACCTGGTCGTAGATGGTGCAGCCACATGTGTGGTGCTGTAGTTGCTTTGCGAGCCGTCTATGCCGAGATTAAGGACGCGGCTTCCATTCGTGCTCATAGGCGCCCCCGCTACAGCGAGCACCGCATAGAAATTCGCAATTGTGTTCGCACTACCCACACTCGCACCGCCCGCGACACCCGCCAGCAGCTCGAGCAGGTTGTACGATATGCCCAGCTTGTGCGTGCACAGGTACGCGCCTGAGTAGCCGACGCTTGCCATCTGCAGCACATAATCCACCATTCAGAGGCTGACAGCAAGCTTGTTGGACCCGAGGACTCCACCACAAGAGGCGGAATCAAACTCGTCCATCAGTAGAGGCTGCGCTGGTTGGACGGCGTCGAGACAATGGCCTGGAGGTCCAAGTGCCGACCCCGGTGAGCCTTCATACACGGTACCTGTGCGAGCCGTGCTTACCACTTTCTCTCTGCCACTCACGGGCTCATCTTCACCGCTCAATGATATGCCACTGAGCCTCTCGCTGGTATTCATGCTTGCTGTTCAATGACGGGCGCACCCACATGTCTCTCAAGCAGCTGCACAGGATGCCGGTCATTGCGCCTGCCAACCTGCCCGCCAGCCTGGCACTTCCACCGCCGCCTCCACTGGACGACTACCTATCCATTTCGCATGGCTGCCTACCTGCTATCTGCCACTCTTCCTCCACTCCTGCCCCAGTGCTGCACAGCCTCTTGCTTCTGCCGTGACTGCTCGACCGCTCGACCGCGTTGCAGCAACAATGAAGAGCTGTGTGGCCGCAGTGCGTCACATCAAAAGTAGTTAGTGACGGAGCCCATCTTCAATCTCAGAACACTTACTTTGCTCGTAGCATATCACCTGCTTGTCATCGCAGGGCAGAGCTAAGGATGGGAGAAGAACTGAGACGCAACGATGTGGCAACAAACCAATAGCGCCATCAGTTTAGGGCCGGCGTTGACAGACTTGGACAGTCGTGCATCGCTCCAAGCGCCCGCACAAAGTAGTGTCTCATTCTTGTGTGCGGACTTTCTGAACGACTGTAGTACTAGCTAGTTGGTTACAGGAATCATTATATTACTAGAAAATGAGTAATTGTGGCTATAATGAAAACAGAAGGTGAGCCTCTACTCCGATGCCACTACCGCAACTCCTTGTGCTACGTGGTGGGCAGCTCCGCGCGCCGCTAGCTTCGGACGCTTCGGACGCTTTGGTAGTGAAGCCCCTACTACGGCGCCAAACAGTGTTTCCTGATGTATGGCACGAGCTTGCCATTGCACACTGAACACCAGCAGGGTACGAGCTGCTGTGCACTCTTCACCTGTATATCTTACTCAATGAGACATAATAGAAAGATTATAAGTCAAATATAGTCACCTTCCCGGTTGAGGTACGTTTGCGGCCTGACAACATGCGAGGCGTACCAGGCGGTGGTGGAAGTAAATGACAGAGAAAAAAACTCCTGCCACATTTAGCAAAGTGCGTCAGCTTCAAAAACTGTGGAAGTGTTTAGATGACCTTTCTGAAGCACCTCCAGCTCTTTACAGGCTGCCTACTCGAGCCTCTGCATAGGCGAGCTGAAGGTTGCGCAAACAGGCTTGGTTAGCCTGACTTAGGCGCCCTAGCACCATTTGAACTAACCTCCGGCCAGCCCATCTGTATGTCGCCCTCATACTTATCATACTCTCTCCTGTACTGAGCTTATTATATTATTCCTAGAAATACCCTTACTTCTACCTCTCGACACACTCACTATACTCAAGTCATACAAAAAGGTCGGACACACAGTGATTGCCCACAAAAGGCGGCGACGGTGGCGAGGAGAACAGAGCCGAGCTTGAACTGCATGATGATGGAGGTGGTGCGAAGAAGTTGGG